GTTTTATGTTTTTTTCCCCCTAAAGTGTAAATATCTGGTTTAAACAGTGAATATACTGCTGTGTATTGAAATTCCTCTTGTTTTGCATAGAAATATACTGAACAACATACAAAGCATAATATATAAAATAACATCTACCTGAGTTATTTCTTTGAAAGAAGCTCCTTATGTCCATTGTTGTGGTCATCAGTACATAACTGAAACCGATTTAGAGTGCTTTATTTAGCCGTGGAGGGTAACAACTGAAAATATGAAATAAACATACATGTAAGCTAAGACTGAAAAAAACAGCATTGTTGTTGTTCAGCTTTTCATTTCGCCATTTGTTGATTCACTCGAAGAGCAAGTAACGTAATATGGGTCAAGTGATCAGTTTGATATCAATCTTTTGTGATACACCGTCATATTTACATTATTTGTACAGTACGAATGATTTGCTTTGGTACCTGGTCAAACTTAAGCTCTCCTCTGTCTGCGCTTCTACAGAAAACTCGCAGGCAGCAGCTTCTCCCCCCTCGCTCACGTGCGTAAGTGCTGTGCTCAGTCGGCTGAGCTCGGATCATACCAAATTTAGGGGGAATTTGCGCGCTATGTGCCTCAAATATTGTGTAGTTTTTTATACAGTTGTCAGTCAGGCATCTAACTATGAAATAAACTAGATTCCAAAAGACCCTGGGCTTCTGAAACAACCCGGGCTTAAGCCCAGTAAGCCTCCCTACCCGCTCCGCCGATGATTTACAGCCCCAGGACAAAGACGAAAACCACGCAGAACACTGAACCGTTTATTAAGAGAGTGAAGATGGACAACTGGACAGCGGCTCTGCTCACTGGTGTTGCCTGCATTGTGGGATACCTGGTTGTGCGGGTGAAAAAGATCAACAGCCTCCGACAGGCAGAGGAAAAGATCAAGAGAGCCAGAAACAGGAGAGATGAGAGCTTGCAGCGGGCAGAGCAGGCGGTGCTCCGGTACAAACAGTCGGTGAGAGTTCAGAGCTTTAAACACTGAAATGTTTAACTTTTTCTTTAGATAGAAATCAAAACAAATTATGTGCTTTTAGTTCAGACCTGGCATTGGTGTCAAGCCAGCCTCCACTTTGTTTTACATTCCCTGTGTATTCAAAGTATTATGGCAAAAGATGTTGAAACCTGATTTCAAAATAACATGTCAATATTAAAGCTATCTCCTTTTGGATTTCAAAGTAAAAGCCCTGTGAATTTTCATTTTTGAACTTCTCTTTCAATGACTTCAGAATGCTCTTAAAAGCAAAAGTCATATTTACAAAGACTAGTTGCATTTTATATCAACACTATCCAACCACAGAAATCTGAAATTGCCCATATTTGACTTACTCTTCTAACGATTTCAAAATGCTCTAAAAAGAAAAATTCTTGTTTCCACAGGATAATTTCACTCTGTATTTACAGTATAAAACCCCACAGTGATACCATGTCAATATCAAGTCAGTCTGATTTTACTTTCCAAAGTAATTGAAATTGATATGGTAACATCGTGAGGTTGTATACTGTTGGTGATACTGTAAGGTGAAATTATCCTGTGGAAACAGGATTTTTTCTATTTAGAGCATTTCAAAATCGTTACAAAAGTAAGTCATATATGGGCAACTTCAATGGGCCATTACCTGCCATGCTGGCAGGAGGGCTTTTAAACATGAGCATTAAAATAAAAGTTAAAAGCACACAAATAATATGCAGCTATTCTAGGTCGTTTGTTTGATTTTGGTCCATATTGACACAATAGCATTACCAGTTGCAGTTGATTTGTTGATTGCACATCAGTGATGTAAATCTCCTGTTCCACCACATCCTAAGGGTGCTCTGCCAGATTGAAATCTGGTAATTGTGGAGACCATTTAAGCACTGTGAATTGTCATTGTCACGTTTGACAGAGTTTGTAAAGAAGTGGAAAATGGCCAAATGGCAAATCCAGAATCTCTACATTCATATGCTTTTATTTGTTTGCTGCAGCTTTTTTAATGACATAATGATTCTGTGTGGGTCTGTGTCTTCTAGCATCCGACAACCGACTCTACTTTCATCCTGACACTCTCCCTGTCTGAGCTGACACAGCAGCTAAAGGAAGGCTCACTTACCCCTGAGGATGTGCTTTACTCTTACATGGAAAAGGTTCAGTATCCAACATGACACAAATCTTTCATAATAGCTCAAATACACCAAAAGGTTCAATGTTTCAAACAAGAGTTCAATATTTTACAGGGTGATTACAAAGATCAAGGTCCCTTCAAGGTAAATAAGTTAATCTCAAACTGTCTGTGCTTGTTTCCTTTCAACAGACTCTGGCTGTAAACAAAAAGCTGAACTGCTGCACTGAAATTTTGCTGGAGAGTTTGGACCAGCTGACAACTGTTGGCTCCAACAAGGATGGTCTCTTGTACGGAGTTCCAGTTAGCATTAAAGAAAATCTTGCATTTAAGGTATTACAAAGGTTAAATAATGCAAATATCAATTGCAGGCCTTCTGGTCAGTATTTCTAACTAATTTCTATGTTATGTCTAACTTATAGCATTCCCAAGCATTATTATTCACATCTTTGAAGCACCATTATCATCTTTTTTCTTCTTTCTTTCTCTTTTTTTTCACAACACAAGAATCATGACTGTTCTTGTGGTGTGATCATTAACCTGGACCAGCCCGCTGAAAAGGACAGTGTGCTTGTTCAAGTCCTGAAGAAACAAGGAGCTATTCCCTTTGTGAAAACCAACTTGCCTCAAGGTCTTTTGAGGTAAATCTTTTATCGGTGATTGACATAACTCTAGAGCCAATTTAAAAATACCGGTGTCTGCCATTTCTGCCCGTCAGCCTCCTAGATGCAGCTATGGCATAAATTTGAAAATCCGGGTAATTTTTAGAAAAGCTGACCTATGACCTTAAGGGCGAAGTTATTGAGATTCAAAGTCATCCAAGATTTTTAGAAGATACACCAATTCGAAATTCCTATGTCACCTCACTTAATTCTGGAGTTATCACATTCACAAACTTGGGTATCCACTCTGCCCACCTGGAGGGGTGATGACAATACCCCATCTGCCTTTTATGTCTGATGTGGTTAAAACTCAGTCAGTTGTGTTTGCTATTCCACATGTGCATGACATGCAAAGACTTCTCACCTTCTTGTCTGTTCAAATTCAGCTGTGACTGCAGTAATCCTATCTACGGGCAGACTGTGAACCCTCATAACCCCCAGAAGACCTCTGGAGGTTCAACTGGTGGGGAGGGGGCTCTCATCGGGGGAGGGGGCTCCCTGCTTGGTGTAGGCACTGATCTAGGTGGCAGTATCCGTATTCCTGCATCCTTCTGTGGAATCTGTGGTTTCAAACCAACAGCGGGTCGGCTCAGGTGGGTCTCATTCAGTCAGTTTCCTGGAAATTTATTATACATTGCTGAGAAAAACTTTTATCTCACCTTTTGTGTAATGATTAGTTCACAGGGAGTTTGTCCAACTTATAGAGGGCAAAAGTCAGGTAAGTGACATATCTACTTAGTAGGGGTGCAACGATACACAAAATTCACGGTTCGGTTCGGTTCGATACTTTGGTGTCACGGTTCGATATTTTTTTGATACAAAAAAAA